GTGTGTGTGTGTGTGTGTGTGTGTGTGTACGCGCGCATATCAGTCATCATTTAGAGATAAAGTGGACTAAATACAGTTTTATTTTCATCTGAGAGCCAATTAAACAAGCACAGCAGCACTGTAAGAAAACGAGGCAGGGTTGGCAAATCAAAATGCCAGCAACAAACCGATTCAAATTGTCTGGGTTACAAGTGAATAGTGACAAATTGGCGAGAAAATAATTAGCATTGATAATCAGAATAATGGCAAGTATGTGAATGTGACTGAAGAGGGTCACGTAAACACCTTTTACGGTTAGTTCTTACAATGATAATAGTCTTGAATTTGCTGAATGGTCTCTTATGACTCCATGCTGCCACCTACTGCTTTGGTGTGAACAGAAAAAAACATATTTGTGTCTATTAGTTGCAATGTGGCTTTCTAATGAATGTACAGTATAGTGTATGTGTTTGTGGTGGTGTGCTTGCATGTGTTCGCATGACTGTGTCTCTCTCTCTCTCTCTCTCTGTGTGCGTTTGCATAAGTGCGTGCTGTATTTATGCTGTGTGTGGACATTATTATGAGATGATATTGTCTGTCGCTCAGATGCTGATTTACTCCCACATGCAAGAACAAAGAGAGTGTTTCTACAAACACAGATGAGAGTCCAACAACAGCACAACACACACAGACGCTCCTCAGACACTGTAAGTACTGAAGAAACTTCATCTTGCAAAATAATTTCTTTGAATTATAACTCTGAATTGTTTTTTTAATTATGTTGCTGACAGTTTAAGTAAGGTGAGGATTAGAGAGTTCAATAAGAATTTTGTTTTTTAACAAGTGAAGAGATTTTGGTAACATTTCATAAAAAGGTTTCATTTGTTAATATTAGTTATTAAAACATTGTTAACAATTAAAAATGCTTCTAAAGCATGCATTAATCTTAGTTAATGGAAATATCATTATTTACTAATACATTATTAAAATCAAAGGTTATATCTGGTAATATTATTTAATAACATGTAACATGAATTAACAATGAACATTGTATTAACCAACATTAATAAACATTGTAATAAATGTATCACTGTTAGTTAATACATTAGCTAGTGTTGTTAACTAATGAAACATTTAGTGTTACTGATCAGTATTAGATTCTCTACTTAAAGAGTTTCTTACTTAACCGTCATAGTGAAATTCATAATTTTCAAATGATGTTATGATATGATGTTTGTAATTAATAGAAATAATCACTTTTAAGTTATTAAAATAAATTATTAATGCATAATTTTGATTCTATTTGTGACCCTGGACCACAAAACCAGTCATAAGGGTCTTTTTTTATTTTTTATTAATGTATTGATTTGTTAGGATATGACAATATTTGGCCAAGATACAACTATTTGAAAATTTGGAATCTGAGGGTACAAAAACAAAACAAAAAAACAATCAAAATATTGAGAAAATTGCCTTTAAAGTTATCTTCATGGAGCATGATCTTTACTTAATATCCTAATGATTTTTGGCATAAAAGAAAAATCGATCATTTTGACCCATACAATGTGTTGTTGGCTATTGCTACAAATATACCCGTGTGACTTACTGTTACGTGGCTGACGAGACGTGAGGATCCAAGTGCGAAGCTTTATTAGCAGACATGGTTAGAGACAGGCAAGGGTCAGACAGTGGCAACAGGTATATAAGGGCAAGACACAAGAATATTCCTAGGGCTAGCGTGGGTCTACGATCGGCGAACAGAATCAACAGGGTGAGACTAGAGGGATAAATCCAGGTACAAGGCAAAGGTCCAGGCAGGGGCAAACAGTATCCAAATAGGACAAGACAAGAGGGGGAATCCGAGAAACACAGGCAAAGATCAGGACACGAGAAAACAGACAAGGCAAGACTAAGATAAGGCTGTGAAAAACTAGACAGGCTCCGTAGAGTAGCTATCGCTATGAGAGTGATAAACGCTATACAATACTCGGCAGTTTGAAAGGGATCAGAGGGAGTGTTACATAGTGAATGTGTGATTGGTTACAGCTGTGTGCAATCAGTGCTGTGTGCAATCAGTGCAATGGATGATGGGATATGTAGTCCGGGATGACATGCAACAGTTTGTGTAGTGTGAGAGTCAATGTAATGGAAGGGTGACCTCTGGTGGCAAGCAGACGGAAGTTCGTGGACCGGATTCGTGACACGTACGACCAGGGTCACATTTATATAAAAAGATTCTATTTTATTAAATCTAAATATTTACGACAGCAGAAATTGCACTGCGGACATAATCATTATCATTTTTATTTTATTTTATTTTATTTTATTTTATCAGGGAGGATCAAACTATTTTCTAAATCTAACCTTTAAAAAAAATGCATTCTGTTTTGCAGAGTGAATCAGTCTTCGGTTGACGATCAGTCATGGCAAACACGGGTCTTCAGGTGATGGGTCTGGTCCTGGGCGTAGCAGGCTGGGCGTTCGGGATCCTGGTCTGTGCCGCCCCCTGGTGGCGCGTGTCGGCGTTCGTGGGGGACGAGCTGGTGGTGTCTCAGGTGCTGTGGGAGGGGCTGTGGATGACGTGTCTGTCGCAGTGGGGCCGCCTGCAGTGTAAAGTCTATGACTCCGGCCTCGCCCTCTCAGGCTCCGCCCAGACGTGCCGCGCCCTGTGCGTGCTGTCGCTGCTCCTGTGTCTGCTTGCGCTCATGCTCAGCGTGACCGGGCTCAAGTGCACCCGCTGCCTGGGCGACGCGCACGAGACCAAAGCTCGGCTGGTGCGGGTCGGTGCGGCGCTCTTCGTGGCGGCTGCGTTTTTCTTCCTTTTGCCAGTGTGTTGGACCGCGTATGTCGTGATACGCGATTTCCACGACCCGAACGTCGCCGCCCCGCTTAAACGCGAACTAGGATCGGCGCTCTACCTGGGATGGGGCGTGACTGTGCTGATGCTGGTGGGCGGGGCTTTGCTGTATTTAGGCTCCACCTCTCCTGGAGTTCCAGCCATGCCTGTTTTTGGAAAAGGCGCCAAAAGAAACCCTCCGTCCACAGCAGAGAGCAAACCGGAGAAGGTCTTTGTGTAAGTGAGCGTAAAAGACTCAGCCTGGATAAACTGTGTCCTAGTGCTCACCTAGAAGCCTTAATCTGCAGAAATGCAGGAATATTATCATTTACTCACTATTATGTAATTCAAAAACTGTACTCTGTTATTTTTTTTTCTGTGGAACGCAAAAGGAGAATTTTGCATAGACTTTATGCAGCTTTTTTATTTGATTTTAATTAGCTCTTTATTATCCATTTTTATAGACATTTGTATTTGCTCTGCTGAAAAAACAGCTATGCTAGTTAGCTGGTTTTAGCTGGTCAGCAGGCTGGTTTTAGAGGGGTTTTGGCCACTTGTTTAGCTTGTTAGGCTGGTCTTGGCTGGTCTGGGGTACATTTTCCAAAAACAACTATGGTCGCAAGTTCTGTCGTTATCAATAGAGTTCAGTGGAACAAACGACAATAGTTAGCTGACAAAGCTTTTGGGGAATGCACCCCAGGCTGGGAGACCAGCTGGAACAACCAGCTAAAACCAGCTAAGACCAGCTAATCAGCTTAGGCTAGTTTTAGCAGGGGGTTTTTTTCAGCAGGTATATCATAAACATACAGTAAGCCTACAGATTATTCACAACACACAGAAACATTTATTAATTATGTTACTCTTATGATACTTTTGAAAATGCTTTTGTCTTTTTTGGAACTTGACAGTTTGTCTTCATGTGGAAAATAACTTTTCAGAATTTCTACTTGTGCTAGAATGAATAACATTCGTTTAGAACGACATAATGGTGTATGACATCATTTTTATTTTAAAGGGGTCCTATTATGCTCTTTTACAAAGTCTTGATTTTGTTTTGGGAGTGTACTAGAACAGGCAGAGGCATGTTGGTTGGCTCTACATTGGGTTAATTTGTAACCCCTGATGGTTTAAAGGGGAAATTATTAATAAGTGATGATTTAGCAGTACCGTATTACTGCAACTGTCCACAAGAAGACAGTCAAACCCAAGCCTCCAAGATCACACACTCTCAAAAATAAAGGGACTTTACTTGTATTGATGGTTCCATGATGAACCGTTAACATTTATGGAACCATTCCATTCCACAAATGTTTATATATAGAAACTTAATTTATACAATATGTCAATGAAATATAAATTCATTTACATATTATTTGGTGAGCCAAAAATTTTTATTTTATGGTTTGAGAGATACCATAAAAAGAAAGAAAGAAAGAGTGAAGATAACATAAACAAAGCTTGTTTTTTTTTCATTCAATTTTCTTCTTATTGTTTTTCAATCTCTGTTTCTTATGATAATTACACCACTAGCACAAAAAGAGTAAAATCCCATCAGTTAAATATTAAGGATAATTATTAATTATTGACTATATATGGATATCTCACCTTCAGTAGTAGTTCTGTGGATGATTTCACCACCTTAAATCATATGCAGTATAGATAGGTAACATTAATGGAAGCTTTTGTTGTTGTTGTTGTTGTTTGTTTTTATTGTTACTACTTATTTTTTTTACCTCCCTTTTACATACAGTATTGTCAAAGCATACATACAGATTACTGATGCTTTGATAATACTGTATCAAGTAGTATGCTACTTTGAAATTGAAGAAACAGACAGACGACAAATAGATTATTTAGATATTATTGACCCTGGACCACAAAACCAGTCATAAGTAGCACAGGTACGCTATATTTGTAGCAATAGCCAACAATACATTGTATGGGCCAAAATGATCAATATTTTTTTTATGCCAAAAATCATTAAGTAAATGTTCAATGACAATATTTTGTAAATTTCCTACTGTAAATATATCAAAACTTTCTTTTTGATTAGTAATATATGCATAGCTAAGAACTTCATTTGGACAACTTTAAACGCGATTTTCTCAATATTGTGTTTTTTTTATTTTTATTATTTATTTATTTTTTTTGCACCCTCAGATTCCAGATTTTCAAATAATTTTATCTCGGCAAAATATTGTCCTTTCCTAACAAAGCATACATCAATGGAAAGCTTATTTATTCAGCTTTCAAAGACTGGTTTTGAGGTCCAGGGTCACATATATGATTATTGTACATTATAAATTGGCATTATAAAGAGATACCCAATCAGTCAGTCCGATAGGAATATAAGCAGGCTACATGTCTCAAGAACAAACGTTTATTGGCTAACTAAACCTTTTACACAACAGCACAGCAGCTCAGTTGTGTCAGTGCAGTGGCTCCACCGCCGCCTCTAGAAGTTACGTGAGAATGAGGAAGTGCTTCTTCTTAAAGTGACAGTGCAGTAATTTAGCGAACTCTATCCAGTATCTCAGCGGCTACTGTCTCTTTAAGAGTCCAGAGCTCGCTCTCAATGAACGCCGAGCAGTCAGATGCACGTTTCTCTCTTTTTGTGTTTATTGTAATGCGTGTGTGTCAATAGGAGGTGGATCTGGCGCACCGGGAGGCCGTTCCAGCTTCCGCGCGAGCAATTGGCTGCTCGTGAACTTTGTTTGTCTGTGCGCCCCGGTCACGCACGCCACGCACTCGAGATGTCTCGTGCTCTTTGGGATCACCGGTGCGCTCGCGACCTCGCGGAAGATTAGCGAGATCATCCACACACTCGGTCCGCAACGCGCAGCTCAGAATCGAACCAGAGAGAGATTAACGGTAACCGGAGAGATGACGGAGAAGCGGATGTCGCGCTGGTACTTCGGTGGGATCGCGTCGTGCGGAGCCGCCTGCTGCACGCACCCGCTGGACCTGGTCAAGGTGAGACGCTCTCGGTGGCGGATGTTTAGTGACAGATCAGCGGCCTCCTCTTCATCCTCCGCCGCCGGAGCACCTGACAGGACTAGTGTTTGGGTCTGAGTCAACAGAAAAGGAGTTTCTCATTTGGACAATTCATAGTTAGACATGTATATTGCTCTTTTGCTAACCTTAACTGATTGCTTTCAATAACTCCAGAGCAATATATCGGCCAGACCGATAATTCCGATCATATTTGTCCAATTTAACACTGTTAAAATAATAGCAACTTACTGACTGTCTTGACAAATTGTAATGAATGTTTTACGTAAAACGAATTGGATAATATTATTATTAAGAATATCAACTTCATAATCTTTGAAATACATCAAATACGTTCCAAATTCTACCGATAGCCATGTCAACATGTGATGAATATTTTATGTCTGGTAAATTAGGTAAATAACATTTGACCATTTTGATAACATCAACATAATATTATTTGAAAGAAGTTTGTCTGTTTAGAAATCTACTGACAGGCTTTTTTTTCAAATTGCATTGAATTGATAAAACAGATTATAGGGCCATTTTAACAGTTTGCCTGTTTCAAATTATAATGAATATTTTATGTCCGATAAATCAGAGAAGTAGTTTGTCCATTCCACTGACAGTCTCGTCAAATTATAATGATTATTTTACGTCTAGTAAATTTGACAATTTGTTGGACGTAAAATTATATATTTTATTTTAACAATATCTGCATAAAATCCTTGAAAGACATTTGTCTGTTCAAAAAAATATATATATTTGCAGCCTTGTCAAATGTTTTAAAATATTTTTCAGTGGATTTTGGTGAAATTTTGTGTAAAATAAGTGTTAATTTAAGCAACTTTATGTACATCTAATTTCCTAAAGTGAATTAATATTGATATATTTTGCCTGTCAGTTATGAAAAAAAAATAGCCATTGACAAGCACATAGTTGAATACTAGTTTGTGATCTGATTAGGTCTCATGTGATGTCCTATATAATTAAACCAAATGAATGAGTGCGTAATCACATTATAACAGGACGGAGGTCAGGTCCTAAAGTCCTCAAGCCGCAGTGAAGGACACTACGGTCAGAACTTTGTTCTAGATTACAGAAACAAATACAGTCATTTGGTCTTATAATAGAGCTGATGGGTGTCTTAATTGTTTTCCAGAGCTATAATTAAGTGTTTCACATGCATGCTCTAAATGAAAGGCTGCAAATGTTCTGTATGCGGTACATTTATATTAAAGGCCAGTGGTATTTTAGGATCAGCTCATTCTGTGCTTCTTAATGGGACAGGAACTGTACAGTTCACTATCATGCCATAACATCAATACGTGTGTATGTGAGCGAGCTGGCAGTCCATGCATGCTTTTGTCCAGATTCCTCATGAGTTACAGACGTGTGTGATCAGCACATGTCTGCCATCTGTGTGTGTGTGTGTGTGTGTGTGTGTGTGTGTGTGTGCAGGTCCAGTTGAGTCCGGTTTGGTGGACTTTGATAATTTTGTGTCTTGTTTGTCCTTCAGTTTACCTCTGCTCTTAAGAGCGTAGCTGTACTTTGGTTTTCCCCAAAAAGTTTCACTTTTCACTTTTTTCAAGTATCAGGTGGCCTGTGAATGAGACATGAATGAATGAATTCAAAGAAAGAGAGTGAGTTGCTAAACAGTCAGTTGTCTGCTAGCTGAGACGCTTGTCCCCTATGCTTTATCTGGTTTTAAACCGTCTGAGTGCTCTCTTGTTTATCTGTGATAACAGACTGAATTATCTCAGATTTGTCTGCTCTCCACTAAAACCAAAACAAAAGCCACAGATAAGCGCCATAAAACCACATACTGAAGCCAAAAACACTTGTGAAGAGCTGCTTGACACGAAGGTCACCCAGTCACCCTTCAGAGATCTGAGTTTAATGAGAGACAGTCTGAGTGCAGTTACCTTTGTGTGTGCTTAAAACATTAATACAAGATTCAAACATGCATCTGCATGTGTAAATTAACTTGAGATTGACTGTTGAGTTACACATGCACAGCTGCATTATTAAATAATTACGGTGTTTGAGCAGAAAGACATGTGACGTTATTGTTGGCGCACTGGTGAAAGCGACCATTGGCCTCTGTTCAAACTTCCCACAGAGCAGTACTGTGTGTGTGTGTGTGTGTACTGTTTTGTCAGTGAGTTTTTGTTACAACCTGTTGCATGTAGCAACAGGTACTTAATGCTCAAGTGAGCATAGTATAATCAAATTTTACACGCACTAGAGCTACTTTTATTTGTCCAGTATGCATTTAATTGATTAAAAGTGACAGTAAAGACACTTATAATGCTACGAAAGATTTCCATTTCAGATAAATGCTGTTCTTTTGAACTTTTGATTCCTTAAAGAATCCTGAACAACAAAATGTGTCACGGTTTCCACAGAAATAGTCAGCAGCGCAACTGTTTTCAACATTGATAATAATCAGAAATGTTTCTTGAGCAGCAAATCAGCGTATTAGACTGATTTCTGAAGATCATGTGCCACTGAAGACTGGAGTCATGATGCTTTGATCACAGGAATGAATTACATTTACAATAGATTCACAGAGAAAACAGTTATTTTAAATTGTAATATTTCACATTATTACTGTTTTTCCTGTATTTTTCATCAAATAAATGCAGCATTGGGGAGCAGAAGAGACACTTCAAAAACAATCTTACTGACCACAAACTTTTGAACGATTTTTGCAAATATTCGTTGTACTGCTGATGTGATCTGATGTAATAATAATGATATTGCTGATGTTGGCAGGTGCACCTGCAGACGCAGCAGGAGGTGAAGATGAGGATGGTTGGCATGGCGATGCACGTGGTGAAGAACGACGGTGTGCTGGCGCTCTATAACGGCCTCAGCGCCTCCCTCTGCAGACAGGTCAGATCCTGACCCCAGATCAGCTTGATTTATCTGGGAATAACGAGCTGACATTCACACACCCAGCAGCGGTAACGCCTGTAAAACTGGAGAAACAACTTATTTGATGAAATAAGTCACTTTCCCACTTACAATGTCAGTCAGGTCATGTGATCGGGATCTGCTGTTTGAGCGTGTGTGAGGGTCAGACACTGATGTAAGAGTCACAGAGTTTGAGTCCCGAAGAAGCGCACACAAATCCATCCACATTGTTTGTTCGGTGAAAATGCACAATGCAGAAAATCTTTCCAGTATTGTAGACTTCATTCCTTCAAATAAACAACTTTCAGTATTTTACAAAGTGAGAGGAAAATAGGCGGACATATTCTCCAAATAAATTGTCAACAGTTAAAGTTATAATAATAATCGAATGTAGTTTAAATGCAGCTGATTAGAGGTATTTTCTAGAAAATGAATGGCATTTGGTTTTGTGTAACAACATAAATATATGAAACGCAGAAGCTGTGATACATTTGATAGAAACCTTAATTAAGCAATTTTACAGCAGGTTTCTTTTATGAACGTGGATATTGTGACATAAAGTGTTGCCTTACACACGTTTTTGAACTGTCAGCTAATACACTGCCCTGAATATATCAGAAACTCTTCCTGAAATACATGAAACAGCAGCTCTTCGGTTAAAGTCAGTCTCTCATGGTTAAGTATGAGATTAAGATTGTTAGTGTTTACTGGCTATACATTGTTTACACTGAAGCTGATGAAATACACATGCAATGCTAATGAATCTGTCTCTGTCTGTCTCTGCAGATGTCGTATTCTCTCACCAGGTTTGCCATCTATGAGACGGTCAGAGACATGATGGGCAGCGGCGGTCAGGGACCCATGCCCTTCTATCAGAAGGTCCTGCTGGGCGCGTTTGGAGGTAAAAACACACACCACTACAAAGCAGAGAATCACCAAACACCTCATGATGAACACCATCACCATCATGCAGTACGCAATGCAACGGTATCAACGCTATATATGCAACATATATAATATGCAATATATATATGCAATATATATATTACATATGCATGCATACGTGCTATTTTAGTATTGTTGATTTACTATTATAGTTTGTATTAATATTCTGAATTAGTTTTTTATTATTTTTATATTTTCAGTTTTCATTTTAGTTAAACTTTTTGTAATTTTGTTGCGTGTTTTATTTATTTTTGTTTCTATATGTATGGAAGCATGTTTCTTTTCACAGTATTTAAAAAAAAATGTGGAAAAATTCATTTCACATTTCTCACTTTTTTTCCAAATTTGTGAGCTATAAACGTTTCAATTCTGAGAAGAAAAGTTAGAATTGTGAGACAAAGATACAATTGGAAGAAGTATTGCTATATAAAAATTGTTAAATAAAAAGGTGCAATCTTCCTTTTTAATTTGTATTTATTTTATTTTTATTACAAAAAAAAATTGCGAGATGTAAACTTAGAATTGCAAGTTTATATCTAAAGAGAGAATTTTTGTATCTCAAATTTAATATATATATTTTAAAGAATTGCAAGATAAAATTTAAAGAGATAAAAAGTCACAATTACGCAATTATTGTATTTGTTATGCTTGTATTTTTTTAATTGTTTTTGCCGTGAAAATAGCCTAAGATGCTGACATGGCATTAAATAAATATATACTACTACTTCTCATAAATATGTCTATATGGTTTATAATAATTTTTATTGCAGTTTTAGATATGTTATTTGAAAGAATAATATTAACCCTGATGCGTAGATGAAGACATATTGTGTGTTTCTCCACAGGCTTCACCGGCGGCTTCATCGGGACTCCAGCGGATATGGTTAACGTTCGGTGTGTATTGCAGGGTTTGTGTTTGTGTTTCTAGCTCATCTGGCCGAGTGTGAGTGTTTTTCATGTTATTGATCTCCACAGGATGCAGAACGATATGAAGCTTCCTGCAGAGCAGAGGAGAAAGTGAGTGTGTGTAGGTCTAAAATCACTCCAGACGGTCATGACGTGATTAATCTGAATCATATCTGTGTCTCTCGCAGCTATAAACACGCGCTGGACGGACTCTTCCGGGTCTGGCGGGAAGGTAAAGACGTTTCTGGATCTCTAAAATCATCTGGAAATGTTTGAATGTGTCTCTCTGAACGTGTGTTTCTCTCAGAGGGAACCAGGAAGTTGTTCTCAGGAGCCACTATGGCGTCCAGCAGAGGAGCCCTGGTCACTGTCGGACAGGTGAGACAGCAGTGCATGATGGGAATGACTGCAATTCATGAAGTTTCTCCGTTTATTGAATATATTTGGCTAATCAGATTAGACTTTTTTTTTTTCTGATGATCTATGAACTATTCAGAATAAGTGCATAACATGTAGAAAAAGGCCAGATATTCTTTGGTTCCCACACAAACTGAGGAATGATCCCCTGAATGCGCTGTGAGCCGCTGTGGACGAAGGCATCTGTCAGATGAAGTGTTTATGATGATGAAATGATCCTGAGCGTGTCTCTCTCTGTGTCAGCTGGCGTGTTATGATCAGGCCAAGCAGCTGGTGTTGGGCACAGGACTCATGGGAGATAATATACTCACACACTTCCTGTCCAGCTTCATCGCTGTGAGTATCGAAGCCTCTGATTGGCCAGTCACTGGCTATTCTTGATAACTTATAGTTAATGGACAGTATTGGACATCTAGTTTTTATTGATTAGTAAAATGTCTATCTATCTATCTATCTATCTATCATATCTATCTATCACCTATCACCTATCTATCTATCATATATCTATCTATCTATCTATCTGTCTGTCTATCATATCTATCTATCACCTATCACCTATCTATCTATCTATCATATATCTATCTATCTATCTATCTATCTGTCTGTCTGTCTGTCTGTCTGTATATCTATCTATCACCTGTCTATCTATCTATCACCTATCTATATATCTGTCTGTCTGTCTGTCTATCATCTATCTATCTATCTATCTATCTCCTGTCTATCTATCTATCATCTATCTATATATCTGTCTGTCTGTCTATCTATCTATCTATCACCTGTCTATCTATCTATCTATCTGTCTGTATGTCTGTCTATCATCTATCTATCTATCTATCACCAATCTATATATCTGTCTGTCTGTCTATCATCTATCTATCTATCTATCTATCTATCATATATCTATCTATCTATCACCTATCTATATATCTGTCTGTCTGTCTATCATCTATCTATCTATCTATCTATCTACCATCTATCATATATCTATCTATCTATCTATCTATCTATCACCTGTCTATCTATCTATCACCTATCTATCTATCTATCTATCTATCTATCTGTCTGTCTATCACCTGTATCTATCTATCTGTCTGTCTATCTATCTATCTATCTATCACCTGTCTATCTATCTATCATCTATCTATCTGACTGTCTGTCTGTATGTCTGTCTATCTATCTATCTATCTATCACCTATCTATATATCTGTCTGTCTGTCTGTCTGTCTGTCTGTCTACCATCTATCTATCTATCTATCTATCACCTGTCTATCTATCTATCACCTGTCCATCCATCCATCCATCCATCCATCCATCCATATATCTATCTAGCTACTTGTGTGTGTGTGTGTGTGTAAATGTAAAAAAATGTATATGTACATGTGTGTATAGTAAATTCATATTGAAATATATTTATTGTAAAATTATTTAAATATTTTTATAATTGTAATTTATTGATATATATTTACATTAAGTCATTGATAAATTAATTGTTATAAAATAATAATAATAATTATTATTATTTACTTATTTTATTTTTTTTATTTTTATTTTTTTCCATGGATAAAAATATAACTTCAAATAAATAAATGAAGATTTTAATGGCATTTTTTCTCTCTTCAGGGAGGTTGTGCGACGTTCCTCTGCCAGCCGCTGGATGTAATAAAGACGAGATTAATGAACTCTAAAGGAGAATACAGAGTGAGTTTCCTCTCTCTTTCTGGTTATTGTCTCATTATCTTTATTGCTCATTAATCAAATGTATTTTTGTATATTAGGGTGTGATTCACTGCCTGACTGAAACTGCCAAACTGGGACCCTTAGCCTTCTACAAGGTACCAGATTTGCTTCATGTATTCATTAAACACTGAGGTCTTTTTCATTACTGATCCTTTGGAAAATGTTTCCCACCGTCCAATCACACGACAGGGTTTAGTTCCGGCCGGGATCCGCTTGATTCCTCACACGGTCCTGACCTTCGTCTTCCTGGAGCAGCTGAGGAAATACTTCGGCATCCGCGTGGTCAGCTGAACTTTGACTTCTTGACCCTTTCCCTTTGGCCTCCTCTTGAAGCTGCTCTCACTTCCACAATATTATTTCTGGAAAATCTCACATTACACAGTCATAACCAACTCCACAATGCAGCCGAACCAACATAACGAAAGATGATTCCTCACTATCCGAGTGCCAACCCGTCATAACGCTCATCTGACAGGAGAGCGGGATCTTCTGGGAATAAACGACTGTACGCTCATCTCTTCAGGGTGAGCTTTAGCTTATAGATGTTATCTATCAGGATAGATATGGTTTCTTTTGATGATTCTGATTTTATTTTATTTTTTATGCTGTTCTTAAATCCTTCTTCTTTTGCAACGTGATGAGACGTTTTAAAGGAAGAGTTCAGTCATTATATCATAACTTACTCACCTGTATGTTGTTCCAAACCTGTACAATGTTCTTTATGCTGAACATCTGTTTTGTTTTCCTCTGAACAGTTACTCTTTTTCCATTTATTAAATTGTTTTGTTAGGGTGAGTAAAATTGACAGAATTTTCATTTTCGCTGAACCGTTCCTTTAAGACACAAACAAAACGGTCCATATTGGTTTTTAAACAGTTGCATTCAGTCTGTATGTATTGTGCTAAACTGTTTTAATGGTAGAAATTCTGTATTTTCGACTGTTTGCTGGGTTCGATTGACAAAATGGTCAGGGGTCACAGAAAAGCTATGAGGGGACAGAATTAAAGTTTTACTTGGAAATAACCAAATTCTGAAGCATCACAGAAGAAAATAAAACCAGAAACAACTGACTGATGGGGACCCAGCTGTGTATCTTCAATGTGAAAGACGAGTCACACTTCTGCACTTCAGTTTTCATTATATTCCTGTTCGTTTTGTAATATTTCTGCTGGAAAACTTACGATCGGCACGGATCTGTGACTGAAATATTGTAAGATCTACTGTAGTTTCTGCAAATGTGCATGTAGTTGTTTTAGTGTTGAGGTAATGGGGGCGTTTAGTGAAAAAGTTGCACAAAATACTTGTAGTAATTCAGTTTTGTGCTTTGGTCCCGAGGATATCTGGACTTATCCTAAACTAAGCGTATAATAACGCAACAATTATCTCAAATTTACTTTAAACTTAATATTTTAGATTACGTTGGTATATGGCCATATTGGTATATGCTTAAAAACAGGCTTTTTAAATGATTTTACACTAAGAATGAACACTGGAGAAGCCTTATCTATTGGTGTCCAGCAGAGCCGCTTGTGTGCATCGAGGGTTTGCAAGCGAGTTTATGTGGGTGCTATAACAGTTAGTTTGCTTGTTTGTTTTTCTAAAAAATTATTTGTAATTTAGGGTTTGAAAATGGAGGGTTGAATTGGGTGAAATTAAGCTGCTCTCTATCTTGAGAAAAATGCCAATATGCAAACTAATGCAATTTTGTCTCATCAGAACGCGGTATTTTGTCTGAAATGAAAATGTATGGAAATAAATGTACTAACACAAGAACATCCGGTGGGATTATGTGTATATTTATATTTTTGTATTCAGCTCGTACATTTACTCAAACAAATTGATATAGGTTTCCCTCCATTTAAACAATGTGGAACAAATCTAACCCAGAGTTTCTCGGGAGAACGCAAAAGCATTGACATTTTAACTTGGGGCTTCCGTAGTAAACCGACAACTTTTGAATATTCATGCATGCTCCACCCAGTGGACATTTAGCTACTTTTGAACAGGCTTTAGCTATACTTCCCATTGAAAATAGTTCCTGCGAGTCTGCAACTGGACAGAAGCACAACTTCCGCATTCATACCAACCAGCTTTCAGTGCGTTGTCAAAGCTGCATGCAGGTAAAACCTGTGAAGAGAAGCGTAATGGAGCTGTTTTTCGCATAGGTGAGTATGGATCTCTTCATGCACAGTTTACAATCACGTGACTGCCTGGCGCGGATCGAAACTTCCAGAGAACTGCAGCACGTGTCTGTCAATGTTCAATCTGTTTCAAGCCATAATGTTTAGATCACATCTAACAAAATGAACAACAAACGTATGAGAACAAACTGCAAGTTTTGGGCGCTTGTGATCGATGTACAGCGCATGCCTCAGTGATATACATAAGTATAGCTACACACCTGAGGCAATGATGAACATAAAAGTTCTTAATTCAAGTTTATATATTTAGATTGTGTTTTTCCAAATATGGCCACATACCTTAAATGATATTGAATGTTTATGTATACAATGACAAAAATTTGTAATTGAACATTTTGTGTATTATTTTACATTAATAAGGAGCAGAACAACAGGACATTCTGCATATTGTGCTGTTGATTAAAGGGGTCATATGATGCTGCTAAAAAGAACATTATTTTGTGTATTTGGTGTAATGAAATGTGTTTATGCGGTTTAAGGTTCAAAAAACACATTATATTCCACATACTGTACATTATTGTTTCTCCTCTATGCCCCGCCTTTTTGAAACGCTTCGATTTTTACAAAGCTCATCGGTCTAAAAA